AAAAAAATTAAAATTATGAAATGAAAGTTCCAAATTATGAAGCATATTTTGGCGCACTTTATAAATTCAAAACAATTGATAATATTATAGTAATTAACTATTATAAATAATAATTAATATTACATGTTCGTTCTAAAGATTTCAGTTGAAATTATTATCGACTAGTTTTAATAAAAGCGAAAGTATTCCTTTTCCTCCTACTATTTTACTAATTTGTCCTTCTACTGAGTAGCACGAACTCTATGCTACTTTTTTGTTAACAGTTGAAAATTTTATCTAAATAACTAAATCTCAATACTTAATAAGTCGACTATTTACACCTATCGAGAAGTCCATGCAACTCGCCTTGGTATTTTAAAAAAAAATTCATTCAACTTTTAACTTTTTAATCCAGAATTTTGATGAAAAAATGAAAATTCGCAGTGATAGAGCTTATGGTCAAAATAAACATCCTCAAAATATAAAGACTCACAGAAAGTGATGATAAAAATTATTTATAATATGGAAAACACTATTTTTAATATTACTTGGATAAATTTTATTAAAATCATTAATTATGAATTATCAGTAAATATTATTTTTATAACAGATGTTTTTAGTTCTTATGTCTGAAATTGTCTTCTCTGATAAATAAGTGCTTGGAAGAACTTATTAATTTTAATTTATCACAATATAATGAAAAGATTTAATATTAAAATGTTTACATCAGATTTTTTAAAAATCTAAATATAAATATGAGCAGTAGTTTATACAAAATTATAAATAAGTTTATATTTATTTCTGATACTTCAACAGAAATTTTATATAATAATCTTAATATGAATGCTGTAGTATCAAATATTCACAAAATTGATACAACAATAAAATATATATATTTTGAAAAATATAATTTACAATTTTTCTCACGAACTATTTGGTCTTCACTAAATTCTTTCCAAAACAAATAAATTTATTATTCATGCCTGATATTGCTTCATGCAGCGCTGATAATCCATCCATGTTTTTTGCCTCTCCTTTTTGTAGAAGTCGAGTTTTTCTTTCCTTATTTTCATACAATTTTCTTTTAATTCTATCAATTGCATTTTAGATTCATTCATTTTTACTGTAAGCTCATTTAGCATAATTTTCTGAGCATTTACTGTATAACATCTATTTTCAACTTCTTTACTAGTACTTTCCAGTTCTTTTTGCTTAAATTCCAACCGTTGATATATTTCGGAAATACTTTCTTCTAAGGCATTTATGTTTTGCATCACTGACTGATCTTCCAGCAAAAGTGTTCTGGTTTCTTGTTTCATATTTTCAATAAAGTCTTTTCTTTGCTGCTTTTTGTTCAAATGATCTTTGTATGAGTCATCACTTTTTGATAATTCTTCTTGTAGTGCTTCAAAACATGTTTGCAAAATACTAATTTTTTCTAATAAAGTTTGTTTAAGTTTTGTCAGATCATCAGTAACTTCAAGTGTTATTTGGAGAGATTCCTTATTAAAATCTAGATTAAGAAGCGTTAGATGCTCATATAACTTGCACATAAAAGATTTGTATGTAACCAAAACTTTATTTAACTCTGAATCCAATTGTAATAATTTTAAATCATATTCTAATTGTGTTCAGTATGTTTTTGCCGAAGTTCTGTATTATTATTTAGTTTTTCTATGTTTGCTACTATTTGGGATTTAATTACAGATTTTTGAAGCTTGTTCATTGGTTGATCACGTACTTGTGCTTGTAATCTTTTTTTTTCGTCAAGCAAGGTGTTTTTTTTTCAAGAATCTTATCTTTCTGTAATTTTAATTTTGCTAATTTGTCTGACAATATCTGCCTTTCTCTTCTAATTCAATAAGATGTTGATGTTGTTGCATAAAGCATTCTCTTCCTTTTCTTAAATCTTCATACTGTTGCCGCTTTTCATCCAGTATTGCTTTGAAGTTGTGAATTTGAGCTCTTTTTTGAACCAATTTTGCCTCCATATCATTTACATTCTCAAGTAACGATGGACAACTAAGTTCAGTAACACATTTATCACTAAAATCTCAACTTCGAGTCATTACCCTCATTAAAGAGCTCATACATTTTGTAAATATAATCCATTTTGCAGAGCATTTGCTGATTTTGCTGTTCATTTGGTAAATAGCATGTGTTCGCTTCGAATAACTCTTCACATATTAATCTAAACCATGTTAGCAGTGCTAAAGCATGAGGCCACGAATGTCTGGTCATAGGTGCTAGTAAAATAGATTTTGATAATTGACCATTGTATTTGAATAATTTCATCATTTTCATCACTTCACATCAATAATTTGTCGGTGTGATTTTAATTCTATTTGCTGTCAGTAATGATGTGAAATGCTGAAGATAATTAACGAAATGAGAGATGGTCATTTGTCTTAATCCACCATTTGGCATAGTAAGTCATTGTCAACCAAGTATTTTTGCAAAGCAGTTGTTTGTTCATTAATTTTCGATGCCTTTTCCTGATTTGGACGAATTGTACTTGGTGGCCTAGATTGTGATGGATGACGTACTGGTGTACGACAGGGTGTAGAGCAAAGGCTCAGAGCACTACGACTCCTACGTAATGGAAATGCTGATTGCTGTGGAACTGGAAGCACAGGTACTGCTTTGATTTTTGTGCACGATTTTGGTTCAGTGGACATAGATCGTTTTCTATTTCCATCATTGACGGGTATTTTACTACTTCTCCTAGTTCACAAAAAATAAAATCAGGGCAATGTAGATACAGGAATTTACTTTTATAAATACCTTGAATTCCGAGAGGAAAAGCTTTCATCGGTTCTCAGTTCAGACAGGCGTACAGGTATATTTGCCATGGCAGGACTTTCGACTAAATACAGTGCACATAATACAACTAATCACATATGCGAATGTGGACATTCGGTATAAAACATGCAAAT